GAAGCAAGACCTCTGCTTGCTTCTTCTCTTCCAGCCGGCGCTTCTCTTCCTCCTGCCTCATCCTTTCCAGCTCTTCCCTCCGGGCCACTTCAGACTCGTTTTCGTAACATTGTTTTTCTTCAAGTTCAGCTGCTTCTTGCTTTCCAAGGCAAAAGAAAACATGGCATTTGAGGTTAGGCTGAGGCAAAGTAACGGGCTTGGGAAGCCCACAAATCCAACTCCTGCAGGCTGACATGTACTGAGAAAATATGGTACAAACTCTGCTAGGAAAGAATAGGAGGACAAAGCCAACCTCCCTGCCCAGCAGGCTGAGAGCTGCCCTGTCTGTAGACATCCCTGCAGGGCCCTGCACAGCCCTGAGGCACAGCACACGTGGCCTCACAAGCACACTCAGATACAGGCTGGGTGGAGAATGGATTGAAAACAGCCCAGAGAAGGACATCAAAAGCACTGCATACCTGGGCTTTTTGCAGTATCTGGTCACCCCAAGCCTCCACCACCTGCTTCCTGTGCAGCTCTGACTCCACCTGTAGGCAACAACAGATGCCATCAGTGCCAGAGAGTGTCCTGCCCCCCAGGATCTACTGGACTCTGTAGAGCTCCAGCTCACCCAGTCGTAGCCCTGGAGTCCCCTTTGCAGAGGTGGGCTCGTTTGCATGTCCTCAGTGCCCACCAGGTCCCACACCTCACCAATGTCACGTGCCAGCTCAGGGAAACCCTGCAGTGACACTGACCCCAGGGCTGCACTGGCCAGAACAGCAGCTCAGTGGGATAAAGAACAGGGAAGTGCCCTGAACACGGCAGGGAGAGCTTTAAAAACCACCTGAGATATTTACATCCCAGGCACTGAAAATCTGCTCCGAGAACAGATTTCTGACTGGTTTTGAAAAAAAATACCATCTCTGAGGGGACTTGTACAGCAAAGCCATTCCACTGCTTTGCCTTTTGCTGGACACGGCAGTGACAGCAGCACATACACCGCGTGCAGTTAAAGGCTGCTGCAGGGCAGCAGGGATCAGAAACAGGTGACATCACCTCCCGCAGCTCAGGGGTGTTTCTCCTCCAGCGCTCCTGCAGCAGCTGCTCCGCTACCTGGGGACGGGAGAGGCGGGTTATGTCGCGACACAGAAGGGTCTAACCTTCCCAGGGCAGCCATCCGTGAAGAGCCCGACGCGCTGGGCACGGCCCCGCGAGGCACTTCTGCCTCTCAGCGCGGGAGGGCCCCGCGGCCGCCCCCTCACCTTCCTCCTCCGCTCCTCC